AAAAAAAAAAAAAAAAAAAATCCTATCTGTTGCCTCTTTCATTAACTGTAGTAACTGTGGTTTAATTAATTGTGGTACTGCTGCAGCTTTATATTTATACATGTCCCTTGATTGATTTTGCTTGCAAATAATCAATCAATCAATAATCAAGTATAGGTGCTTTAAGTGTTACAACAGTGTGTAGTGTAAACAGTAGAGAGGAGCAATAAAGAAGCTCAATAAAAACCTCATGGTGGTTACTATTTTTTACTTTTTTCTCTTACTTATTCAGTCTCTCTTTCAAACTTGGCGGCAACTTATTTCGGCCAATGTTTGAGCGCTGCTTTGGCGGAAACAGACGGTATTTTGTGGTGGCGTATCATTGCATCTCGCTGATAAAGGAGCTAAAATTAGTGGGTGTTTCCATCAGTGCCGATCAGAGACGGAGCTGATAAATAACTGTGACTACTGCAGAGGTGAATGCTGATTAAAACTCTTAAAGCCAGATGTTAGTGGGTGTTTGCAGGTTAAAAATTGGCAGACACAGCTGATTATTTTGCTGCAGAGTGTCTGAAATAATTAACAGTGAACCAAAAGCAAAACATTTGCTCTGTGTCTTAAAAAATAAGTTGAAATTTACCTGCAGCCATTTTAAATCCACCACTGAGGGTGTATAGTTTCGTGACAGAAAGGTTGGAGGGGCTGCCTTGAGAAGATCCCTTAACCATGGATCAGTTTCTGGTAAACATTTGCGACAGGCACATAGAGTTGAGTTGTGATGGCCGAGGGAAAATCCAGATAAATTCCATGAAAATCTAGAGAACACCCCAACGGCTGCGATGCACAGTATGGATATGACTGCTCTGGTTTTTCCACTTGAAAGCATCTCAGCAGTGTGACGCTTTTTAAGGAAGTTCAGTCTGTGGATACAAAATGTGATGAAGCACACAGGTGAGTCACGTCATACATGTGTGTGAATGTGCCAGAGGAAGAGACTGGCTGCTGTTTATGCCCTCTGTTATCGATGATAGAGACACATCTGACATTTACAGGAGGAAATTACATTGTCTCATTTTAGGTCTTCTTATTAACCCAAATAGCATAAGGCAACAAAGGGAAATTAAACCAACAGGCAGCTCAATGTACTGTAGTTTCTGATCTATAACCAACAACTTGTTTTCATAGAGCATCAGGTTACAGCTGTGTGTGTTCAAGAGCACTGTGACATCTACACAGTGAATAACAGCCTGCTTGAGAGACTTGTGTTTGATTCTGATGAAGTGATATGACTCCTGTAGAGCAGTTCAACAATAAAGATGAAAATAAAACAATAAAATCAATTTAAAAAAATTCTATAAATGACTTAAAGCAGCAAATTAACTGCTGTGTTCGTTGCTGTTACTGTTCTGTGACATTCATGTCCCACGTGTTGTTTATATGTACACAGTTTGAACACAGAAGACTGTAGTAGGAGTCAAAAAGAAGAGAAAGGAAATATAATGCAAAACCTTACATCACATTAAAAATGAAAAGAGTATCTTTCCCTGCTGCTCCTCTTCGAGCAAAAGTCACACACGGCAAAACTGGTTCAACAGGTTAGATTCAGAGCAGTGTGAGACCAGAAGGAGAATATTTAATAGTGGGTGCTGTGAGCATTATAGTCATGATATTTAGCTTTAAAAATACATTATTAAATAAAGCTTAAGTTACCTTCTACCAGTTTCTTCTATTAAAAAGTATAATCCCACACTTTAGTCGCCTCTTTGCCATAACACTACACCACATTAACAAAGTATTCTTGTTCTTCCAGACAACAGCGCAGAAATAATTAAATAATTCAAGAATCAGATCAGAGCTTCATCACAGCATTTGAGTCTTCAACATAATAAAACAACAGGCTACATTTCTTAAAATTAAAAATTAATAAATGAGTTAAATAGATTTTATTTTTCTCTTACCCGACAATAGATTTAAAAAAAGACAACAGGCAGGTGGGGCAAGAAAAGAAACACCTTGCAGAACCCGTGAAATGTACACAATGAATGAGCTGATTAATGGCAGGTTGAAGAGTCAAAGAGGAAGTGCTGAATGTTTGGCATCAGTGCCAAAGGGGTGTGTCAGAAAGACTTGTTTCACGGTGGTACAGGCAACATCAGTTTTTTATTTGTACAATGGTCCATTGTCACCCATACTGCCCACACGTCTTATCTGTGTGTTTTTAATTTTATTAATTTATTAATGTTTTTTTTTTTAAATCTAAAGCACCTTAAAATCCTCTTATATGAAATGTGCTCTGCAAATAAACCTGCCTATGGCTATTATTTAATGCCCACTCATTTATTTATCGAATTATATACTTATTATATACTAATTGTATGTTATTTTGGTCTGTGCTCGTCTCACCTGTTTAAAGTGGGAGTGTCTCTGCACAGTCCAGATTTAACAACATTTAAATTGGAATGTGATGACTGTTGTGGGAGTGCTGCTTCTGTTGAAAGGCCACATTTTATCTGATCAAACCACATCGACATGGTTTTTGTGTGTTTAGCTCTGAAGAAACAAGGCTGCTGACAGATACACACAGCGGCTTAAGAAAACTTTCCCACATGCCTCCACAGACAAAGGCAAATACATTGATTGATTTATTGATTGATTGGGAACCATGTTCAACAACAGCAACAGTAAATCTTCTTCCTTTGTGTATAAACTCACACAACTTGTTCTGTGTCCAGTCGTATGCTCAATACTTCCATGAACACATGCATGTCTTTAGGAAGCAGTGAACAGGCGACTTTCCCACTGCACCAAAAACCCACTAACACCCCCTGCCATCTTGTATGCTTCTGTATGTAATGGGAAAGGTTACAATCAGCATTCACACCCAGGTCAAATGCCTCTGTAGTAGTTGCATGTATTTATCGGCTCTGGCCCTGATCAGCGGTGATGGAAATACAATGCCTGGGTGAACGAGCTAATATTAGCTCCTTTACGGGTGAGAAGATGTAACGTTTTCACTGGCTTCCATGCTGCTTACTTAACCTGTTTTTCAGCCTGTCCGTGGCATTGGCATGACACAGCAGTAAAAACAAAAAAAAAACCAGAAAGGCATGCTAATCTGCTGCAGAGATTGCCCATCTTTGAGTCCATTGTGTATTTCAGCAGGTTTTAATCTAATATATGCATCCTGTAAATTCACCTAAAACGCCTATCAAAGTCATACCCAAAGTAAACTGAACGCCAGTCTTTTCCATTTTAGTTCATGTACATGGACAGTCTCATCTGAAAGGAAACACCCTAAAGTTTTATTCCAAACAGTCAAAATCACTGTAAGTAACCCTGTCATTTATTTATATAAGTTTCAACACACTGAAATAGAAGTTCTTCTTTCTTGCCTTAATATTTTCTTGAAAAAAATATGCTGCAAATGACTAGAACAGGGCGGTATTAGCTGGAAAACACAACCGAGCCATATGATTGAGCCTCACATGGTCCAAATGCAAAGTAGATAACAATAGAACTGAAGATCTAAAAGTCTGACATGTTTTTCTAATGTTTTGCCCCTGCGCCTTTCAAAATAAGAGGGTAAAACAATGTACTGAATGTGTGATTTTGAGTGAAAAACTAATCAACATAGACAGAAGTGTATATTTAGGAGTGTGCTGTATGTAACAACGCTTCTGGAAAACTGAAATAGTTCCTCAAGACAACACAGGAACCATTTGTTTATCATTTATGTGCTTTTATAACAGTGAATAATGACAACAAAGGGTTAAAAACAGCTGTTAAACTTTGGATTATCATTGACTACAAGACCCATAATCCTCGGGTAAGGTGGGCCAATCGCTGGCTCTCTAAATACCTCTAAACTACAAGAAATGTGTTCTTTCAGCTCAGACCCTGGTTGGCTATCGAGGCCATAGCAACAGCACTGGAAGGTCCAATTGGCTCAAGTGAGGTGTCAGTGGAAAGGCCAGGCGCTCACCTCCATTTTGAGATGCCGCACGACTATTAATATATTTAGAATTTGTTACAGCTACGTCAGACATCAAGACAGACAGTGTCAAAGATCGATCATGGGGTGGAAGGTAGTGATGGCCAAGCGAAAAAGAAGCAGCACTCTTATTAGATGAGCCTCACAGGTATCTGAAAATACATTATTGGCCTCAGCTTAAATTCTGAGCCCTCTGGATAATGCCCTCTGATCAACAAAAGTCACTTAAGTGCCATTCTTTGAGCCTTTTATCTGAACAAGGAGCACCATCTAGTGGGCTTAGAATGTATAGTCGTGGTAAGACTGGTGTGGTAGGGGAATGAGACGGGAGAACAGAGGGTGTAGAGAACAAGGAAGAGCAATGTTAAATCGAAAGAAAAATTAACCAAGAACAGCACTCATCCCACGTGGTCAGACACTGTGGGCTAAAAAAATCAATTCCAGCTCAGCTTCAACAGTGAATAAACTCTCAGTTCATGAACATTTCACCCTTGACGAAGCTGATCTTTAATGGACTCAGATAAATTGCTTTACAAAATATAATTTCCTCTCGTGGTTAAATGAACTCCATCATGTAAAAATAGCGCAGGAGTCTCAAACATTATGTCCAAACCTGCCACTGGAACAATTAACATATGTATTCATGACAGTGTTCACAAACCTGCAGGCCTTGCCAGTCTTCCCCACACTGGATCCAGCCCTCCAGCTGCATCTCTGGGTGGCACCAGGGGAGATGATCTTTTTGTTTGGATACTGCAGGTGGACTCTGTACAGGTCATTCCTTATTGCAGCGGTGGGATCGACACTTGAGACATCTCCCAGGTCATTTCCACAGCAGTGGATGAGGAGGACATCAGATACTGCTCTTCTTTGTGAGGCCTGGATGAAGAAGGGGAGAAGGCTCTTCCACCTCAGGATGAAGATATCATCAACACCAAGGTTGTTCTCGACGGTCTCTGCAGCTCTCTCTCTTACTTTAACACTTAGCTTTAAACTTAACCTCCAGTTTTGTTAGCAGCGACTTCACACGGCACAGCCTGGAGCCAGATGTAGTAAGGTTGCTTGCCTCGGTGATTGTTTCATCAAATTAACTTCATGTCTTGTGTCAAAATCTTATCAAAAATAATGTTGAATATGGGATATATTACTGACAAAATTAAACTTTCTGAAAGGCTAAGAGAAGGCTGCTGTCTCAGCTTTATTTCCTTTATTCTCATTATTGAAATATCGGCCATTAAAATAAAAAGAATGTGTCAAAAACTTTCTTTTATGCAGATGTTTCCTTCCATGTAAAGGTAGATATCCTCTCTTTGGAGACACATATCCAAGAAGTTTTTCCTTTTTATCAGGCTTCAAGACAAATTATGAAAATTGTTGTATCTTTAGAACTGGATGATTCAATTAAAATGTTCAGATCCCCTATTAAATGGTCAGACAGACTGTGAATCTTTTAGGACGACATAAACCATGACATAAATCTTAGCAAAGTAGATAAAACTCCAGGTTCGGAGGGGTAAACAATTGTCAATGTTTAGTAAAGATACAGAGATTAATTCCATGATAGTCTCTATTGAGTGTCTTTTGTCTTTGCTTTCTCCTGATGTTACCTTTTTCAAAGCGTATGAGAAGAATCTTTTCGATGCATCTGGAATGATAAACCTGAAAAATCCACAAATATGCAAGACACAGTGTGCAGACAGTGACATCAGGTGATGAGAATACCCCCCGAAAATCTGATTTGGACCTTCAAATAAATACACACGCATTCTTCCTTTGCACAGAACTCTTCAAAGAACCAAAGAGGGAAGATTTAAAGGAAAAAATGGGAGAGGACACACTTTGAAAACATGGCATGGCAGCATAAAGTGTTTCCATCTGTCACAGTTTGGAGGATGAGAACATACAATCTTCGAAAAGATCTAATATTAGAAACCCTTATATCTTTAAGGGCATCATAAAGAATGTGGTGACAGAGGCGTGCTTGTTTTTCTTGAGAGGCCACCATGTTTGAATAGTTGTTGTTTTATTGTGGATTTCTGTATTTTATGTTGTAGCTGTTGCATTTTAATGTGTTCTGATTGGCTGCTACCTCGGCCAGGTCTCTGTTGTCAAAGAGATTTTCAGTCTCAGTGGAACTTCCTGGTTAAATAAAGGTTAAATAAATAAATTAAATCAAATTAAGCGCAGTTATTTATATAATAAACAGGAAGTGGTTTATGTTTGAAATGTCTTCAGGCTGAAAGTTTCATGGGTACAAAGACTGAATAAAAACCGTAACTGGTTTTCATCCGAGCTATGTCTGTCCATATGTGGGAAAAATGTATCTGTTATTTTCGTGAATCATTATTTCATTTAGACATTTTGTTCCCAAATCTTTCTCTGTTGTTTATAAATTCATTTAATTCTCTTCTGCCTAAAGTTTGAGTGGAGGCCCAGCTACAGCTGCTGATGGCTAAATGAACATACTTGTACAGATAATAAATCTGTACGCTGGTCTCTACCTTTAGATAATCATATTTATTTTGTGAACGATATATTGGATGTCGAGGGAAACTTAAAATATTAGGACATATGTACAAAGCATTGCTGTGTGCAGCTACTGTCTGTAATCCCTTTATTGTGGAGAACTATGATCAAAAACTCTGCAGATAGTTTTGGTTTTTGTTTCATTAGAAAATATAAATGGGTGGTAAACTGTAAAATCAAATCTGTTATGTATCATTTTATGTTGTCTGAAAATATAACCTCTCAATATCACCTCTCATTTGTATCATATTTAAATATATTAGATAGCGAATGACTGACAATAATATCTGTTGCAGGGAGACCTCTGCAATAACACCATGTTGAGACATGTCTGTGCCAAACATGATGAAACACACCAAGCTGACAGCAACCAGCCCGTCAACACGGATATCCTGGTGATGAAGATGACCCGCCATTTCTGTGGTAGAGGGTAGAAACTTTGTCAACATCCTGGATTCTACAGGCTGTCTGAGCTCTGGTGAGGGCTCAGATAACAACTTGAAAAAGTGACTGCTTGCTGGATTCCAGTTCAAGCACTCCACTGCCAGCGTAACTGACTGTGAGCCACCAGCAGTGGTCGGGGACAGAGCCAGATGTTGGAAACATTCGGGGCTCAGCCCAAACCTGGAGG